TACATTTTTAAAATCAATTTTATCATAATAAAAATTAAATTATCATATTTAAACTAAGAATTTAAAATTTATGAAATTTGAATTGATTTATCCAAGTTAAATCTTTTAAAAATAATAAAAATTAAAATTAAAGTAATTTAAATTTTAAAAAATTTAAATTTTTTTAAAATTTATTAAATTTCTAGTCCAAATACACCTTAATAAGTTCTAAAAAAGAAAGTGGCGTTTCTCCTTGTTGATCGTAGGTGAGCTTTCAACTTTTGATGATTCATGCTTCATTTAGTACCTTACCTCATACATTAACTATGCATAAGAGGCTCCTCCACATGGAGTTTATGTATTATAATCATTATTATTTAAATATGTTTTAATTTTTTAAATTTAGGTGAATTTATTTTTAGTCTTGTAATTTTTTTAAAATTTTGTTTTAGTCTTTAATAATAAATTAATAATTATTAGTTGAAATTAATGTGATGTTTTCGCTAAAAGGATAGATTTTGTACGATACTATTTAATGAATTTTTTAATAAAATTTGAGTATAAAAATTATCATAAGATTTTTTTTTGAAATTTCAGAAACTAAAATAACCAATATAATTTGAAGGACTAAACACATTTATCTTAAATTTGAGAAATTAAAAATATATTTAAATCTATTATTAAATTCCGTTAGAATTTTTTCTATCAATAAACTCAATTAGAATTTAAAAATTTTCATATCTTAATTTAGAAACAAAATAGTTTGGTCATTTAAATTTTGAATTACTTGATAAAAAGCAAGAGTTTAATTTAAAATTTTAAAACACTAAAGAAAATAATTATACCCTATTTTGGTAGAGAGATAATACGACTTTATTAATAATCAAGCGAAAACCACCTCAGGATATTTGAAAATGTTCTGATATTTCAAGGAACCCATAAATCATAAATCAGAAATCAAAATCTCTATAAATAGGTTTGTATATATACTACTTGGTGACAGACCTTATAATGGATCTCAGAAGACTTTTATTGATCTCTCACTGCAGAAGGAAGTTCAACTGATACGTTGAAGGAAGTAGATAATTAGTTGTACTCTCAGAACCAGTCTTTTTAATGAAAGTTAGGCATCAGTGCCATCACTTGCAAATATATCTAAGACTCAAAGATACTCACTATGTTCTTGGACTCTTTGTAAGAAACTAACGCTCTCCTTCCAAGCTTGTTCATGATTGAATATGCTCTGCCCCAAACAAAGAAGCTTGGTATTGGTAAACCATTCATAATAAATTTGTTAGTAAATGAAAGGAAAATATTAATTTGCTTTGATGATGTGGTCGAATATTGGCATTGAGTGACAGGTCCAATGCTTGAATAAGGTTATTGTTTTATCAAAGTGACCTTAAAATATCATATGGAGTTGTAGCAACAAAAGAAACTACACAGTTAATCAGCTATTCGTGTTTAGATACATTTACACATCAAAGTTAATTAAGATTATGTAATACAAAATTTAAGACCAAGAATTGCTCAAAATTATCGAGAAACAAAAACTTTAAACTAAGAATTGCAGGACTTTACCCCAAAGGGAGCCCTTCCAGAAATTCTCAAAGGCCTGAGCCAAACTCAGGCCTAAGAGGGGGTTTGGAAATAGTTTTCAACCAGCAATAGACGCGCCTCGGTTAGAACCTCACTAGCTGCGTCATTGCCCCAAGCGCAAAGATAACTTTCTATAGCATCTGACAACTCTTTTTATAATAGCTTCTGTCAGAGTTTTCTATCGGTTCAGTCAATGTGGGACTTCAGCCAACAAGCTACCACAAACTGACCTTGCCAATATTAACAAGGATTTTCTATCAATAGATAATGATTCCAAGGTTTATGGCAACTCATTTTATAAAAAGTTTATGACAGTTTCATCTATTGTTTTTCTTCATGTGAGATTTTATCCAACATCCATGTTGATCAAAAGAAAAGCTTTGATAGAGTGACCTGGCTAGGATTTTCATGTGCCTGGGCTAAAATTTCTTCTGAAAGAGACCATCTGAGTGAAAAATACAGATCGTCATTACATATCATTCCTCAAATGAACCATGCTGGCATACATCCTCTAAATTCTAATTAAGAAAAAAAAAGTATATTCACTGTAAAAAAAAATAAAAAGAAGAAAAAGAATTAGTCACCGAGACACCTAATAGACTGAACACAAATTGAAAATATCTACTGAGAGTCAATAAGTTACATTTTGTGTTTTCTCGTTAAAAAAGTGAAAGGTAATGGAAACGGCATAATTCAAGGGTATATGCTACCATTACAACTCTTCAATAAACATTCTCATAATTGGATGCTTTTACAGGATAATATTTAGATAGTCATTGAGGATTGTTGGGTTATTTTTTTTCTCATTATTCCTAAAAAAAGGACTAATCCTAAAAAAAGGACTAACCTTTCATGCATGTTGTGAATTTATGAAGGTTATTACTGCATCCAATGACTTTGATACCAGAGTTTAGAGTTTAAAGTTGTAATGATAAGATATTATCTACTTTGAACCTAAGTCCTAAATTTTCACAGTTTTATTTTTTATCATCACCTAAAAAATCTCTTCTAACATTAAAATATATGTATATTTTATAAATTATTATTTTTTCTCTTATTTTATCAATAGAGAACTTCAACTTAATTGGAGGGTGTGCCAGGCTCATGCTGTAGTGCAAAACATAAGCGACACTTGGGAATTCCAATAGCAAGCTACTGATATGAACTCCCTCCCTTAAAAAATAAATTTAATATCATGTGAGTCTATGACCCACATATCAGATATTAAACTGATAAGAACAGATACTACACTTGATCTTAGCCAAAAGGCCGAGAAAGGTATGAGTTTAGAAGACTTGAGATTTCTATTTTATAATAAGATCTGGAGTAATTGTTATCTCATCCAACCGATATGGGGCTTGGTAGCGCGTACTTCGGGTCGCAATGGTTTTCAAGTTTGTTGGTGGATTAGACTGGTAACGGTCTGTCACAGTGAATGAGAATGGTAGAGCCTTAGCCTTAAGTTAAGCATGCCTTTGTAGTTACTGACATAGAGTGAAGCCCTCATATTAGTTATTAGAACAGAAGAGGACATCTAAAATGCATTTTTCTTAGTAATGTAATTTACACTTAAATTTCTAATAATAATCATAATGAGGAGAGATATAGAAAAAGATGGATAAACAAGTATGAGATGAGATGAATGATGTCGTAGAAAAATAAAGACAAAAATATTCTTCCTCTTCGTATATGTTTCCTTAAGGATAATCTCATCTTATTATACTGCTTTGAACTGTGTAGTGTATAAACACTAAAAAGAAAGGCAGAGGTAGAGTTTGACTGTTCAAAAGAGCATACATTCTTGCACATCAATGATACGTTATTTTAAATTTATTTAGTCCATTTTTGGGTTTTTTCGCTATCCAATGGTGGTGATATTCACGAACAGTTTTGTATGTGAAGAGACAAATTACTTTTGAAGATTGTAAGTATGAATGAGTTGGTATTTGTTATTATTTTTTCAATTTTATTTAAAATTGTATAACCAACTATAACACTATACGTGGTTGTAAAAAGAAACTATAACGCTATACGTATGGTCATTCAAAACTTAATTAGTCAAAGCATATTTTTTTTTAAATTAATTCGAATTACAATAAGAAAATATGTTATTAGTCTATTACATGTTTATAAAAATAAAGTATCTATTACACATGCGGTTTTAATTTATATGCTACAACTATTATTAAAAGGTGTGTGGAGGAAATGGCTTTTTTTATTTTATTTTTGTAAACACAACATAAACTCCATTCCACACTAATTTTCACGGCCTGTGTACATCACTTGTTAGGGATGTTTAAAATTTTCAAATTGATCTAGATTATAAAATCTGATCTATTTTAAGAGAAAAAAATGAATTGATCCATTTTTATAAAGTAAATAAATTTGATATGGTTTTTTTTTAAAAATTAATCCATCTATATGTATAAAGTGAATAATCGGATTGCATTGTATCGATCAATTTTTTTTAAAAGTAAAAAAGTCAAAAAAAAAAAAATTAAATCAAACCAAATTATTTTATAAGAATTGATTTGGTTTTTTCAAAAATTTGATACATGAATAGCACTATCACTTACTGAGTTGAGTATCAATGAATAACTTATGTCATAATCACCTTTTATCTTATACTTGTCCTGAAAAGTGATTACATATAAATGTTAAGATTTAGCATCGGGTAGTGATGTTTTCAAAATATAGTATGTAAGAAGGAAGTAATCCTTATCATATAAAACGCCAAGGATTGAAAATATTGAAAATTTTGCATGAATGGTTATTCTCTATTTATATACTAGGATCTCCAGAAGTGTTAGTCATTCTGACATGGAGAAGAGCATGTGAAGAAAAATGATGTAATAAGCATAGACAAAAATTCTATGAAATATATAATTGTTTTTTTGTCAAGCTGGATTGCTAGCTGCGTGAATTTGAAAATATTTTTCACAAGCAATCTTGATGATGAAGCCAACATATGCTACTCTTGTCAATGGTGAAACCTGGAATTACAAGAACTTGTTGCAGAAGTAGCACATGGCTGTAATCGATCATCTCAGGCGCATGTTGTGCCAGTCTTTAGTAACTTGCATGGTATTTTTCCTCACATAGCGTTTAACGCTTTAAAGTGGGAACTAAGCCACATCAGTAATGTATCATTTCTACTAACTCTTTCACATTGTGTCTTGCAAAAAGTGTATTCAACGATTCCCCAAGTAACTTGGTCATTTCCTTAAATTAACATAAAGTTCCTTTCATGAACACCCTGCCTCAGCTGATATACAAGAGCATAATAGCCAGAGAAGAAAATGCTTCAGCCTTTTGGCTATGTATCTTATTACCAACGATCATTACAGGAGCATTCTCCATTCATGAAATGGTGAAAACGGCCACCATCTCTGAGGAAAATATCACGGTTTCGAGCCAAGGAAATGTACTTTGCTGCTGTGTGACAGTCTTGACAAATTCTTGTGTTCTTCACTACCCTGATTGGTGATCCATCCTTGACTTTCATCAGTCCATATGTCATAGCCAACTTCTCTGTGTGACTCAGCAGAACCTTCTCCTTATCCTTGTCATCAATGTTCTGATGTACACAATTAATATCAGGAACATATCCCAGCTTTCTTATCTCAGAAACTAATTGATATAACTCAAAATATATTTCTCCTTCTTCTGGATGAGGATTGCCTTCAGTGGAGAACACGTGAATAGTCTGCTTAACTTGTGTCCAACTCCAGACATTTGAAATTTTCACCCCCATGGCAGTCATCGATTCTCTAAGGCGCTCCACGTCATCCCATCTTTGGAAAATGGAATATATGTTCATCAACAGCATATAGTTAGCAGAATTATATGGTTCCAACCTGAAAAGATTCCTTGCTGCAATCTCTGCTAGCTTAATATCCTTGTGAATTCTACAGGCAGCAAGAAGAGCACCCCAAATACTAGCATCTGCCTTTATTGGCATGGCGTTGATAAAATCCAAAGCCTCATCAAGAAAACCAGCTTTTCCAAGAAGATCTACCATGCAAGAGTAGTGCTCAATTGTTGGACTAATGTTATAATCTTTCTTCATACTGTCAAAGTAGTTCCACCCTTCCATAACTAAACATGAATTCTTGCAGCCAGATAGAAGAGCTGTGAAGGTTATAGCATCAGGTCTGATACCTGTTTTGCACATGTTTTCAAATAGAGTAAACACCTCTTCCCCACGGCCATAAATAGCATATCCCATCATCATGCAATTCCAACATGGTAGTGTTTTCTCCTTAATGTTCCTGAAAACCTCATGAGCTACTTCTAGTTTTCCTCCCTTACTATACATGTCAATGAGGGCAGTGGCTATATATATGTCATCCACAAACCCATGTCTCATACTGAAGCAGTGTATCTCTTCACCTTTCTTTAACAGTGACGGGCCTGCACATGCCCCGAGTAAGCTGCAAATGGTAGTAGAGTTAGGCTTTACATTTTCTTCTTGCATTTGGCTGAAAAACTGTAGGGCATCCATGTAGTTCTCATTTTGACAACAGCCTGATATCATAGCAGTCCAGGACACCACATTAGGAGTATATCCCAAACTCTTGATCCTATTGATCACAGCCAAAGCTTCCTCACTGCGGCCCCACATTGAATAACCTGAAACCAAACTATTCCATGTCACCAAATCAGGTTTTATACCTTCCTCCTCCATCTGGTTGAATAGCTTTTCAGCATTGTTAAACAAGCCCTTGAAGGTGTAACCTGATATCAATGAATTCCAAGCACAAATGTTTTTGTTCTTTGTATGATGGAACACTGCTTCAGCTTTATCTAAGCAATCATTCTTAATATACATATCCACCAAAGAAGTACAGACATAGACATCATAATCAAGCTTGCTTCTCATTATGTAACCATGTATTTCTTTGCCAAAATTAAACCAACCCAATTCAATAACTGCTTGCAGAGCACTAGTTATTGAACATGAATCCGGCTTGAAGCCTGCACGTTGCAGGCTCCGGAAATTGGTGAGAACCATTTCATATGATCCCTGAAGAAGATGGCCAGACAAAAGAGAATTCCAAGTTATAATATCCGGTTTGATGCTGGAAGACTTCATTTGTAGGAAGATATCCCTGGCATCATTCAAATAGCCATTGACTGCATAACTCGAAATTATTGAGTTCCAAGATGACAAGTCACGATCCTCTGTAGAATCAAAAACTGCTCTAGCTAGTTCAACTCTATTGTTCCTAGAGTACATGCTAACTAAAGAATTGCAAATTGAAGTATTTGACACTCTTCCAAGTCTTATAACATACCCATGAATCTGCTTCCCTTCATTGAAAGCTCTCAATTTCCCACATGCTTGCAGCAGCTTGACAATGATGCCATCAGTGGCTTTGGCAGAAGCTGATTGCATTCGACCGAACAGTTCTAAGGCATTTTCCCACCTCTCACTCCTCAAGTTTACCATAACAATTGTATTCCACAGGAAATCTTCTTGTAGTGGGGTCTCATCAAATACTTGATTTGCCCAATCTATTCCCCAGCACTTCTCATAGAGATTGATCAATGCACAACTCAAGTGCACATCCACATGGAAGCCTCTCTTAATTAAACAAGCATGAACTTTCATGCCAAACCACAAATCCATTAAGGCCAAACAAACTTTCAGAACAACAGTGAGAGCTTTACTATCAAATTCCACTCCTTTATTCTGCAATTCCTTGAAAACCTCCAGAATGTCATGCGAGTCACCTCCAAAACTTGCAAACTCCTCCAGAAAAGAATTCCACAGAAGGTAATTCCTTGTAAAACCCACAAAGAATACCTTTGCTGCAGACATAAAGTCTCCAAATTCCAAGTAGTTTCTCATCATGCTTCCATCCACTGCAGCCAAGTTTCCCTTTTTCGGCATTTTGATCATCTGGGCATGCAATTCCGTGACAGAATTCAAAGTCCTTATCTCACCCAAAGGGTGAAAGAATGGAGAAAATTTCGGTGGGGAAAATTGAGGAGAAGAAACCAGGTGGGAATCTGACATTCCATGAGAAAGTGAAGAGGGAGAAAGGCTTCTGGGTGGCATGAGGGTTTGTGGGTTCTGAACAAAACAAGGATTAAGATGATAAAAAGGTGGTGCTAGGTTATCCATGAAAGTATTGTACTGAAAGGAGATGAAGAATGTCATCGGAGTGTTATATCAGTAGTGATGCAATGGTAGGGACAGTTACGTATTAAGAGAGCTTTAGCTTGAGCTGTAATGTAACTCCAATGATATCTATTTGCAATTCTTTTTTCATCATGTAAATGGTGGTTATTGGTATGTGAGCGTGTGGGATGCGAGATTTTTGTTGATAAGGTTTATCCGTTTAAGTTTACAACTGAAGTTTTGGGGGGCAATGTTCCTCTCTATTCGAAATAGTTGTTGTATACTAAACAAAGCAATATGCCAATCAACTCCAAACCAAAGTGAGTGTTAGACAAGTGATTTTGAGTTAAATATTTAAAAGGAGAATTTTACCGTTTATAATAAATTTATTTTATTATTTCTAATAAAAAGTTTTTGTGATATATAAAAAAATAAAAAATAAAATAGTAAGTACATAAGAAAAAAAAGAGTTTGGTGCAACCAATCAAAAATAGCCTTCTATTTGGGTCCTTACTTTGGGCCACTGAATGGGCCGGTTGCTTAACAACACACATTTGAACACTTGCCTTCCCCTGTGCTTTACCAAATAGTGGCTATTAAGGGTGAGACCCTCTTGAGTTGTGTGTGTTTTGAGCTGAATGGGAGACAAAATTGTTAGGCATAGAGGAAAAAACATGTGACATATAAAATAAGAACAGAACTAGTGAATGCTTTCATTTAAATATGTTATAATAAAGAAGGACATAAAAGCACACAAATACATGAGCATGTGGTTTCAGTTAATGGGTATAAAGATATTAAGGGCAATTATAAGACTTTTTTCTGCAAAAACTAATATTATCTCTAAACACACAATTAAGTTATCTATAAACATTAATTGCTAACATGGAAATAGTTGGTGGTGTGTGTGGGGGTATGAGTTGTAAAATTAGAATGACAATCACTTGATTTTGCAACCTTTGCTTTATCCCCTTTCTAAGCAAGAGTATCTTCCTTCCTAGTCACCCATTTTTTGTCTCTTGTTCCAAAGTCACCAACCTCACCTTTCTACCCCTATTTTTTTCCAAGTCCCATGTGCACTCATTGAAACCTCGGCATTGAAAGGGATTAGATAAAGACACCCCAGAAGAGTGATAGGAAAAAACAGAAGAGATGTCTGATTGGGGGCCAGTTTTTGTGTCTGTGGTGCTCTTCATTCTTTTGACACCAGGGTTGCTGATCCAGATACCTGGCAAAAGCAAGATGGTAGAGTTTGGCAACTTTCAGACCAGTGGTGTGTCCATTCTTGTTCACTCCATCATCTACTTTGCTCTAGTTTGCATCTTCTTGTTGGCTATTGGAATCCACATGTACACTGGTTCTTGATCCATTCCACAACACCTTCTCTACACACACATTATTCATAATTGGTTCATTTCTTGTCATTGTTAAAATTTGTTTCTGTGCATCCATGCCCATGAGGGAGTGACATTATGACAAGCATTTTGTTCTAATGATTTTTCTGAAATTTATTATTAGGAGTGTTGACAGAAGGTTTGTGTGTAATTAATTATTGGTTTCTTTAATGTACTTTCTTATACTACTAATAAACATTTAGATGCTAACATTTTTTGGCCAGATCCTCCTCTCGTATGTCATCATAAGGTTTTTTTTTTTTGGACAAAAGGATTTATATATAGACACTAGTAGTTGGCTAGTTGCCACTGCTTTTAACGAACCCTCGAGTTTCAATTCAGTTAATTCTTGCTTCATAATGATTTTCTAATACAAGAGTAAAGTTGTCTAAATTAAGGGTGGATGTTTACGCCATTATACCATCATCTGCGAGAAATTTGATTCCTTATTCCTGGAAAGAAAATAAAAAAATAGAAGGAACAAAATTGATGTTATAATGAGATTGATGTACAAGTTAATTAATGTTCATTTCTTTCCTACTGTGTATATTCCAATGGTTTTGAGACTAATATGAGCATTGAAAGAGTTTTATTTTTATTTTTTTTTATCACGAAAAAGTCGTAAAAGACATGTGCAGAACCGAAGTTAGTGAGCTAATATAGTTAGTGAGTTACAGTTTACAAATATTAATGATTTGGAAAGTAATATTTACATTTCAATTTTATATCTATATATAAAATAAATGAGTGTGCTATTATCCTTTTTATAATTATAATAGAATTAAATAATTAGATTTAAATACTACTTACTTTAATTATTTAAAGAGATAGTATGATAACTTGTAATAAATAAACGTGAGTCCATTTGACTCCACAAGTTCAGCCTAGTAAACTATGAGTAGTTACTTTTACCCATAGTCCAAACTCCAAACCAGGCAATTTTTACCAACCAAATCCGTCTCAGACTCTCAAATCTGTTGTGAGCTATATTAAGTTAATTAGGGCCACACGCATATTGATAGTTTTACTTTGAATGTTTTGGAGTTACTTAAATGAGTTTTTATTGGTGGTTAAAATTAAGAAGGCATCTAAGTAAAGGAGGTTGGATTCTTATATAATAATTGTTTCATAAGAAATTATAATTTAAAATAAAAATTATTAAGTCTTACGAAAAGTATTAGGAAGAATATATTAAAAGCTTATATCTTTAAGCGAATTCTTGTTAAAATTCTTATATTTAATGTGATATTATAAGATCAACAAAATTAAATTAAAATTTTTTTTAAGAACCCAAATAATGGAGTAGCTCTTAGGTAAAAACTAATTACCTTGTTTGTTTAGATGATAATGTTGAGTTCTTGGTAAGGGTAATAGTTGTCAAAAATTGCTTTATTAGTTAAACTTTGGCCAATATATATCATTTTGTGTAAATATCACTTTAAACTATTTTGTGGTGCTTATAAATGATAATGTTGAAATCCTTGATATCAAAATATCAAGAGACTAGAAAATATTTTACAGTATGACTATGACAAGAGCTTTTGTTTTGAATAATTCATTTGCCTTCTGTGGCCTCTCTTTCTTAAATAGATAGCAAGATATATGCTTTTACAAGAAGCTGAGAGATTACAGAAGTATACAAGAAAGAAAGAGATTATAGGAGATTTCCTAACAGCTAGGATATATGTCCCATATAAAATAATATAGCTATAATCTTATTAAAACAGATAATAAATTACATTAAATATATTATTAACACTTGATAAGGGTAATAAACATAGTTGTTAATATTGGACTAACCCATTGATTTAATTGATTAAACTATCATCTCGTATAAATATCACTTCAAACCATGGTATAAATCAATAAGAACTAGGGATGGCAAAACGGGCCAGCCCGGCCCGCCATGGCCCGCCAAAAATGAGGCGGGCTGGCCCAGCCCGCCAATGTAAAACGGGCTGGAGATGCTGGCCCGCCCCGCTTAAGGGCGGGCTGGCGGGCCAGCCCGCTTACAAAAATAAAAAATAAAAAAAATGGAAAAAAAATTTATGGTCAAATAAAAAAAAATTTGCTACAAATAAATAAATATAATCATATGAAATTAAAAATGCATACATATTGTACTTAATATATGTTCAACAAAAACAAATTACAAACTTAAAACAAAATCAAATAGAAATTAATCCATTTACACCAAAATCAAAACCAAATTATAAACTTACAAATTATTTATAAACTAAATTTTTTGATAGTCCACAAAACAAGTTTAAATACAATTAATTAACTTTAAATTTTTATTTTAAGAATATTAGAAGCTCTCTTGAAAGAAGTTATCTCTACTTTTTTTCTTAGTCATCTTCATCCTCATCTTCTACATCAAAATAAAATAAACATAAAAATAATTAAATTAAAAAAAAAATATGCAGGCCGGCGGGTTGTGGCGAGCCGGCCCGCTATTTGGCCCGGCGGGTTGGCGGGGTGAAATGATTGACCCGGCCCGTCAATTTTGGCGGGCTAACGGGCCGGCCCGCAGGCCATGGCCCACTTTGCCATCCCTAATAAGAACCGGTAGTAGTTTGAATATTGTTGGATTAATTATTTAATTAATATATTTTATAGATTAATATTAATTATTTATTAAGAATTATTCTTTAATGTATTAATATATTAGTTATGTTATGGTCAATAATTATTTTAACACCTAATTAAATGATGAATATTATATTGGATTTGTGTTCAAAATGGTCTATGATGAGTTGAGTTATTCAATTTATGCTCAATGTGACGTTCGTGTCCTCATATGATAGGTTACTTAACCATTGTGTTGTCTTATTAAATGATTGAGATGGACTCATGAACTAATTATGATCGAGGAGAGTCTTCTCTCATTTAGTTCTCCTCATATTTTGTGAAGAACTTATATCACGTAAATAATTCCTTATTTTCTTCTCCTATACTAATTGATAATATGTTGTGATTTGAATCTACTTGATTTTCAAGTTAACAAATTTTATCAATTGGTATTTAAAGGTGTTAAAATGAGCCAATCCAATAGTGGGTCAACCCAACTCACAACAAGTTCGGGCCAGGTTGGGTTAGGAAAAAAAAAACTACCAATTTTGACTAAGTTTCAACTCGGTTCACTTAACCATAAGCTAAATGGGTTCAAGTTTAAGTGAGTTGGGTTGACTTGTTTAACACATCACAATTAAAATAAATAAATAGACATATATATATTTATTTATTTATTTATTTATGTTTTATGTAATTATTATTTGAAATTTTAATTGATATTTTTTTATGTAGTTGTGTTTGAATCAATGATAGACTTATTTTTTTATTAAAAAAAAGTATAACTCTTTGTTTTATTTATTAAAGAAAGGAACTTGCATTTAATTTTTTTTATTATTATTTTTACTTTTTAAAAAAAAATTGGTGAACCAACCTATCTGACTCACCAATCCATGATGAGTTGAGTTAGGTTGAAATTCTTCTAGCTCACTAAAAAGTGAATCGAGTTAGGTTAACTTGTTTAAGATAATGATTTTTTTTTCAATTTTGAGACATGATTTTGCATAATTTTTTTGAAAAATTTAAGACTTGAAACTTGTCTCTTTACTATTAAATACAATTGAAACAAGTTTGAAAACTATTAAATGCAACTGAAGTTCAAACAAAAGTGTTATTGACATAGTAAAAATCACATAAAATAAGTTTGAAATACAATCGATTTTAAAAAAAATATAATTTCAATTATTTTTTAATTATTTGTGAGATATATTTTCACATAATTTTTCACCATGTTAATAACCTTTTTGAATTCAAACATGAATTGAATTTTATAATTTTTATATAGGTAAACTTAATGTACAAGTTTCATGTCTTAAAAATTATTATTATTTTAAAATAATCAAATTAATCTAAATATAAAAAATAAAAAGATAAAATAAATATTTTAACAAATAAAGAATCAAAATAAATTTAAAAAATAAAATAAAGGATAAAAATCTAATTTAACCTAAATAATTAACTCTTATATATTAAATACAAAAGATTATCTTGCAGGAAAATAATTTTAGAAATTATTCTTGATCAAAAGACTTTTTTTTAATAATTTTTTAAATTTTTATCTAATTTAATTTTTTATTTATAATATTTTTTTAAAATATTAAGTTTTAATATTTTAAAATAAATTATCAATAATAAAAATAATTTTGTGTCATAATATAAATTATTTATCTTATATCTAAAATATAATTGATATATTATAAATTTTTATTTATATACATTTTAAATATAATTTATATATTTAAATATAATATTTATTTATATATAATATATTATAAATTTTTATTATATATCATAAACATTTAACACGTAAAATGTATAAGATTAAAATAATTATTTGAAAGGAAAAATGTATAACAATAATCGTATAGGAAAAACAAATATTGACAATATAGCTAAAATAAATAATTAAAATGAAAACTAGCTAAAAAATACTTTGATTTTTAATTTATTTAATATCTTTGTTCCATAATTAAAAGATCTAATTTGGTCACTTAATCTCTAAAAACAATGTAATATAGCTATTCTGTGTAATTGACACTAACGATTAGCGAAATTTTTTTTATCGTTATTAGTTTCAATTAAAAAAAATTACAATACACCGTTTTAAAAAATTAAATGATCAAATTTGACCTTTTAATAATAAAAGGATAGATTTAAATAAATTATAAAGCTTGAGAAAAAAAATAATTTAGCCCAAAAAATTTCTTATACAAGCTACTAGAAGCTAGAAAATTGTACTACAGTCTCTAGAGCAGTACTCCCATTGTTGCAAGTGTGGTAGTTCCTGAGCATCTTTGGGACGTTTCTGAGCCACACAAACGCATACGATGAAGCCACAACTCAATCCTCATCAGCTGAGTCTCATCTTCATTCTCCACATGTCAAACAACCATTGGCCATGTTCCCATATCCTCAACACGTCAGCACCTCCACCGAATCGCACCTACCAACATCACAGGCTTTTGCTTCTCTCTCTCTCAAGAGTTTCCACTCAAACCAGATAGATCACCACTTCCACAACACAAGGAAACAAAACCAACCCTTTTGAGGTTGCCACTCTCATGGTAGCAGCACTTCACATTCTAATAACTCTCTGAGTGCCTCACCGCAGACTCTGTGACACCATGGAGGCCCTCAATGCTGCTGGCTTGACCCCTCTTTCTGTTCTCTCTGACACAACCACAACAAGAAAACAACCATCAACATCTGCATGCAAATTCTCAAACTTTTCCACCTTTGGCAACAAGAAACAACACGCTTTGCTGAAAACTCTGCATGGGGGGCTATTTCTGGCGGCTTCAGTTGCAAGTGGTGGAGCTGCCTCAGCTTTGTCGTACGAGGAAGCACTGGGGCAATCTTTGAGCCTCCCTAGTTCTGGGGACTTTGACTTGAACGGGTTTGTGGAGAGTGTCACTAGCATTGTAGCTGAGAACCCTGCAATTGTTGCTGGAGGAGTGGCTGTTTTGGCTGTGCCATTGGTTTTGTCTCAGGTTTTTAAGAAGCCTAAGGCATGGGGTGTTGAGTCTGCCAAGAATGCATATGCAAAACTTGGGGCTGATGAGAAGGCTCAGTTGCTTGATATAAGAGCACTTGTGGAGATTAGGCAAGTGGGGACCCCGGATGTTGGGGGTTTGAGGAAGAAAGCAGTGTCAATAGCTTATAAGGGTGATGATAAGCCAGGGTTCTTGAAGAAGCTTGCATTGAAGTTTAAGGAGCCACAGAATACCACACTGTTTATTCTGGACAAGTAAGAGTAATTTATAACAATTTCATTTGCAATTTTTCTCTATTTGTTGTTATAGACTTGATGATTCTTGAGCATGTTGAGTCAACTCTTTTTAGCTATTGATTGTGTCGGGGAGGGAGGGGATTCAAGAATTCTCATAGGTTGTTGTGTTACTTTATCAGGAATATGAGCTGCTATGCTAGCAGAGAAATCTATGAATGTTTGTTGGGTCATCACTTTTTAGCTATTGATGGTGTTGGGGGGGGGGGGGGAATTCAAGAATTTTCATTAAGGGTTTTGGTACAGTTGTTTTTCAGGCCAATAGTTGAATGTGTTTGGGCACACTAAGAAAGAGAGAGAGCTTTGTTGGAATTCAGAAAAATTAGAAGGCTGAAACTCATGTAATTTTATTCATACTTGCAACCTTTTAAATACACAAAACACACTGATACAAATTCTGCTCATAAACATAAAACTAAATGACAAATGTAAATACTCATAAAAGTGTAACAACACCTATAATTCTTATAATTAAAATTCATAACCGTAGGAATTCTAATAATACTCCATTAATCTGAAATAAACTCAAATAATAGATGCTGATTCATATTCTCAACACTCCTCCTTGAATCATTAGCTATTGACTCCAAGTTTCCCTCTCAAGTTCTCAAACTTTCCTCTTGGAAGTGTCTTTGTGAAGATGTTTTCTAATTGATCCTCTGCCTTGCAATATACTAACACAACATTGCCCTTTTGTTTTTTTTTTAAATCTCTAACAGAATACAACTTAACATTGAAGTGTTTAGTCTTCCCATGAAAAACTGAATTTTTAGAAATTACAATTCCTTTCTTCACAATTCTCTTAACAATTTTCTTCTTTTTGACAACCCTCGGGGCCGATTTACCTGAAGAAACATTGCTAGCTTTATCTGAATTCAACAACTTATTTTTCCCGCGAGAATCATCAACCTCCCTGGCAGAAGGTCGGGAAGAACTACCATCAACAATTTTCTGCACACTCACCTCCTTCTTCCTTGAAATAGAACTATCATTTTCCTTGAAAGGTGACCTATTCAAATCCGCAATAACTGAAGACACCTAACAGGTTGCAAACCAGAATAATCACCATCCGAAACCCTTTTATTCCTCTCCCCATAACCAAAATCTGAATCCAAAATCGGAGTCGCATACAAATCAGGAACAGGAATAGAAACCGAACTCAAGGGTGGTGGTGGCGGTGGCGGAGCCACAATTGCCTTCGCTACAAGCGAATTGGACTCAAAGGAAATATCAATTTCAACAGGACTCTCCTCTCTCTTATCTCTCTCCTTCATTAAATTTAAAGAGAAGCTTTTTCCCTTCATTTTGACCTTGAACAGATCATGTCCACTTGCATCTTTGATCAAACACATTTTGTCTTCAAACATAATTTTGTAGCCTTTTTCAAGCAACTGTCCAACACTTAACAAGTTTTGATTAATTTCAGGCACAAAAAGTACATCAGTGATTATTTTTGTACCTGAACAACTTTCAATTGCAATAGTGCCCTTCCCTTTAACAGCTATGCACTCTCCATTGCCAATTCTGACTTTTGAAACAATTGTCCTATCCAGCTCCTTGAACAATTTTTCATCATAGGTCATATGATGTGTGCATCCACTGTCAATCAGCCAGCTCTCACAATTGTTATTGGTGGCAAAACAAGTTGCTAAATAACTGCTCCTCCTCCTCTTGTTGGTCAGCCACTTGAGCCTCTGTTTGAGATTGCCTTTTGTTATTGCAAAATTTTGCAATGCGACCAAGCTGGTTGCATTTGTAACAGCGTATGTCGGGTCTTCTCCAACATATGAAGTGGGGATGGTTTCTTTTTCCACAGTGCTGACAAGGAGGATGATTTGGTTTCTCATCATCTCCTTTACCACCTTTGTTGGAACTTTCTCCTTGCTCAAAGTTGTTCCCTTGAGCCTCCTTTTTCTTTCCTTTGTAACCATGACTGAGTTTCAGTTTCGCCTGTAAAGCACCTTCAATCACGCCTTCCTCCCTCATGAGTCTCCTCTGTTCTTGGGCTTGCAAAGCATACATCAATTCTACCAAAGTGATATTTGACAGGTCCTTGGAATTTTCCAAAGAGGAAATGGTGGATTCAAACCTCTCAGGAAGAGTCACAAGGATTTTCTGCACTATCCTTGTATCGGAAAATTTTGTCCCAAGCAACCTCACCTTGTTTACAATGCTTAGAAGTCTATCAGAATATTCTTTCACCCTTTCTGACTCCTTCATCCGTTGCATCTCAAACTCCCTAATCAAATTCAGCACTTGCATCCCTTTGACTTTCTCATTTCCTTCATACTCTTGTTTGAGAAAATCCCAGATAGCCTTTGCTGACTTTAGAGTCACAATTCTGGTGAAGATTGATTGAGAAACAGCAGAAAATAGACAAGACTTTGCCTTTGATTTTCGCTGTTTTCTTTCCTTATGATACTTGATTTGATTAAGTGTTGGATTTTCTGGTAATTGACCAACCTCATAATCCTCCTCAACAGCTTCCCAAAGATCATTTGCATCAAGAAAAGCCTCCATTCTGACTGCCCATAGGTGATAATTCTCACCATCAAATGCTAGTAGTGTTTGGACTGAATAATCAGATTGCATTTTCAATTCTCAATATAAGGGTTTAGGTGTTTAGTGGAACTCTCAACCTTACCAGGTCCCTCAAGAACAAAATAAGCTCTTGATACCAATTGAAGGTTTTATGGTGAGAATCTTAAAACTGAGAGAAGAAGAGAAAGACAATACGTATTGTGAGAGAATAATTATTCATTGTACTCTTCCACAATACGTATTGTCTTTCTCTTCTTCTCTCAGTTTTAAGATTCTCACCATAAAACCTTCAAGCTTTATTAAGTGGAAGTCAATTCTATTATTGATAGAAAAAAGTAACAATACCAAAACCCTTAAGTTTCTTAGATACCATGGAATTTGTCCATGAATGTTTGTTGTTTCTTATTGCATTTTGTAAAAGAATGCTCTTGAAGCTGATTGAGTGAACTTGTGATGGAAGCCAGATTTGATGGGAACTCTGAACTGGTTGCAGAGTTGGTTACCGTTAATGGATTTAAAGCCGCTTATGCAATTAAGGATGGTGCAGAAGGACCACGAGGATGGGTGGTATTGCCTCTCCCTTTCCATTTTTCTGTATCATATTTATAATATTTGTATTTAAAATATAGAGCATTTTTTTCTTCTAATAATGATTAGTATACTGACATGGGCTGGAATTCTGCAGAATAGTGGTCTTCCATGGATAGCACCGAGGAAAACATTGAGTTTGGACAATCTGGCAGATGCTATCAGTGACGCAATTGGAGTAAGTATCTGGGATTTATCTAATTACAATTGTTATTCTCAATGCTGATGCATGTGCGAAATACTGTTATTGCTTTTCAGTATAGTAGGGATTTTCCTTCTGTTAAATTTAAGAATACAGATAACATATTTAAGTTGAGTTTTAGAGAAATAAAGTGTTTGCTTTCTCAAATTGAGCATTTTTGTGTGTCTCTAATTAATGGAGGTTTGTTGCAGGATTCCTCTGATGGCTTGGCTGTTACTCTTGGGATTGCTGCAGCTGCTGCTGGACTGAGTCTATTAGCTTTTTCTGAGGTTGATCTGATGAGTTATTACTTACAATTTATTCCGTTTTCCTCAAAAAGCAATAATCCGTTATGATGTGACTCTACTGACATAAACTACTTGTTCATGATGTTTTTCTGTTTGTAGATAGAATCAATCCTCCAAGTTGTAGGGTCAGCTGCACTCATTCAGTTTGCAAGCAAGAAGCTTTTATTTGCTGAGGTAAGTATTTTTTCAAAGCAGAATGCTTGGTTTTTTCATTTGTGTTGTTTATTATCATCATCAATTTGTTGAATAATTCACCTTTGGTTCTAGGAGGCAACCATTCTTTTGTTGTGTCTGTTCTTTAACTTTATAGTCCCTCCTTCTCATGAGTTTATTATGACACTATATCAGATATCAAAATAAGATATTTCTCTTCAAGAAATGAAGGATCTGTTCTTTCTTTTTTAATGATGTCATCAAGATGTTAGAAATTAGAATTTGAGAGAGAGAGAGAGAGAGAGAGAGAGAGAGAGAGAGAGAG